AGTAGCAAGGACGAGCCCGCATTGCAATGTTTGGAAACTGCGGCATTTGCACAGGTTTTCGTTGTAGAGATCAGGGTTTGGGGAACGGGAAACTCAGACTTTCGGCATTGACGCTACCACACTTCGAACTCTGCCAAGATGAGGTTATTGGGCTCGTAGGGTTTAGAATGGTTTTGAGTTTTGCGGCTCCCGCATGAAGAGCTTGGAATTTTGGGCGTATGGTTTCCTAACACGTCGCCGGGGGTGTGGGGTTTAGGGTGGCATAAGACTGTTAAGCCGAAGTCGAATGGAAATAACGAGATATACAACAAGATGCCGTTGTTGCTTGTGATAAATTCAGGCAGCCGTTGTGGCGGACGACCCCGGCAACGAGGCCGCCTCGCCATGAATTTTACATGGCAATCCCTAACACCCCAGGTAACTACTATATAGGGCCCTACTGTAGGGGCTCTAGTGCCCTATATAATAGGTACCTGGGGGGGGGGGGTTAGGAAATGAGACCCGCCTCCTTCTTTTTGGGCCAGATCTCCCAGCCCTTGGGGTAAGGACCTCACATGCTCGAAACTCGACTCCACTCTTATCCGTAAGGCTTTGCACCTGAAAGCCACAGAAACATAAAGTTTTGAGCTGCTCAGAACAGAATAGCCAACAAATCGAGGGCAATTTAAGCACCGGTCACTTCTCGGTCACAAGGTCCTGCTTCATGGAAAAATTAAGCTCAACCCAGCTTCGGACGTCGGATTGAGGCATGCTGGAATGTATGTCTGTCCTGGCCCCACCAGATGTGAAAGGACCTTGGCTTCGGGCTCTGACGGAATGACTGTTTAGACCTCCAACTCTCGGAGTCAGCAAAATTTCATGCACTTAGCCCACAGCCCAAATTCAGTTTGCAATTTCGAGTGCGTGTTTGCTGCGGTGATCCAGCAGTATCCACCAACCTGTGACTCAAGCAATCAGCAGCCGCAACACCAGCAATCACACATGAATCCGTCAGGGCCTTGTCGTTGCGATCGAAGACCACGTAGTTGTCATTCCCGGCCTTGCCCACAAAAACTGTCTTGCGTGATGCATTGACCTAGCTCAGTAATTACCTCGAAGATAGGTGTACTATCCAAGACATCTCAAATTTAGGACTTAAACGAATGCATCAAGTGAGAAGGTAGTTCACCCTGCCTTCGTGTAGAGCATGGCAGTTTTCAATCCATTGTAGCCGGCACCTGTCTTCAGAAGCTCCACAGTTCAAGTCATCGGGAAGGCTTAAGCGGACACTCGTCTCATGCGCACCAGCCACGACAGAGCCCCGTGACTTCGACGAAACTGTAGACAACACTGTAAACCATGTTTGCCAAGCTGGGAGAGCGCGCATTGCTCGTGTCGAAGGACCGTACTTACGCCCGTGGCTCCAGACCGGGCGACGCGAAAGCAATGCAAGGCCCTCTCAGCTTCTGTCAGAGCCGGCCTATGACGCCAGTTGGATGTGGCCACTGATGTCTGCCGGGCCTTGTTTGCAAAGACATGACTGGCATTGACATATTCGTTCCTCGCAGGTGACTGTGAGTACCTTCTAACGTTTGCCTTCTGGAAAACTCATGTGCTGAAGGCCGTAAACATGTGTGCAAACACTCTTCGAGCGAACCAGATCGTGCAAATTCGGGACTGCAACTTCTGTAACTAGTGCGAACCCGGCTCTGTCTATGGATATCCAAGCATTGTAAAGTACAAAATGGAACAAAAACAACCGGGTTTGTTCTCTCCGTGTTGCTTCATTACAGTACTCGGTGCTACCGATGAAGCATTTTCATCTTGTCTCTGTGAGTCTGCAACTTCTCAACTGAGATTAGCCATCTGTCCGAGCAGCATCTACATGTCTACCATATTCACCAAAGCAACATGACAGAACATGAACTGGTGCTTTCCTTCTTGGTTGGAGAACACGTTTTTCACACGAATGGGTGAACTTGATCGAACTTGGGTAGTGTCTTCTAGGGCAAAGAGGGGCTTGCCAGCAACCTTCTTGGTGTCTTGGGAGAACTCTGGCTCATTCAGCGACGCATCTTCATCTCATGCCCTCTCTCTAAAAGACCCCGGCCGAAAGGATTTGATGCCTTTCACTGTGACCTGGGCTGTGCAACCAACAAGTGCATCTCGCTGCTTCGGGCTGAAGATAGGAATTCGGGGAAGCATTTCGCAAGGTCCTAGCTACACTGGTGTGTGAAGGTTTCTTGGGTACTGAGGCCTATACGTATCCTAGGAGAGCTTACGCCTTGTTTGACACATGTCTCCTACGCATCCGCACATTCCCTCTCTACCTGACAGCGCCCAAGCACCCCGGCATCTCTTTGCACCCATTCCCCCAAACACACACACACACAGAAACACAGACAAACCGACGCACACATACAGACACACACACACACACGCACTGAAACGGAGGGTTGTTGTTAATTATGCCGCCGTGCCCATGGCATATAGGCCTACCCAGCAGCGCATTTTTTGCATGCATTATTGACATTGTCAACTAATGCACAACAACGGTGATGGATTCAAGCAAAGCGAAGTTTCACCTGCACTCCTAAACCGAAGTGGCAAGCCCCAATCCGGTCCACTCAATGCGTATGGTTTTGGGCCCCCTGCTTGTGCAAAAGACATCGGAAGCTGAAGTTGGAAATTACTAGCCCTTTGTTACAGGGATGACACACACACACACACCGCCCTTGACTTAAAGGCTGAACCTGAATAACTGCCACGAAAGGTTGCACGGTAGCACTGGGTTCAAGGCACAAGCCGCGATCTCCTCGGAGAGCATCTGCTTTCGCGTGCTGCATCCTGGCAGTGCTATTTTTTGCGTGCTGCTTGGTTTCACAAACGTGACTACGAGTGATCGATGCCGTCTACTGTCTTGAGCAAATAAACGGCTCTTGTTGCTCCAGGTAGGGAAGCGGAGACCTTTGAGTGTGAGCCTTAGGATGTCCAGAAAGCTTTCGGTTCACATGGTCCGAGCACTCTGCTCTTTTTTTCGCAAGGGCAAGACGGGTAAGAGGTGGAGGAACGACCTCTGCTCTTTCTTTCTTTCGCCAGGGCGGTGGTGGGGAGTTGCCTCCCCACCGCTGCTCTCTCCCCCTCTCTCTGTGTACCAGAGTCTGCATAGTCCACATGGTTGCAAGTCGCTTTTGGTAAACTTGGCTCGACATCTTCCCTTCCGGCCTTGCTTCACCAAGAAGCTGATGCCTCGGCAGCTTCTTGACAAAGGGCGTTTTGCTTTCATGATCTCAAGGGATTAAGTATGTATGCTCCTGGGGCATGGGGGTTACCTCGCTGCATACACGCGCATCATGCGTATCGACAGATCGATGCCAGCTCCCTTTTCGTCACGCGTGTCCTCTTGGTCACTTACATTCGGCGCCGGCCGTCTGTACACTTGTCGCCAGCAATGGTTATGCAGGTTTGTGCAGGGCCGAGTGAATTCGCATTTCGCAGAATTCAGCGCGGCTGCTTGACGGGCACCGAGTATGCTGGGCTGAAACCCTGACAACTGCGCCATTCCGAGTTGTAGACCACTCTAAAGCGTGCAGCCCTTCGGCGGAGAAGCTCGCTCTTGCTGGCGGCTCACTCATCCTTGGCAGTCCTCGACTCCTGCGGACCGTACAGCGGTACGGATTCGGATTAGCAGCATGCCGCTCGGTGACAGCACTACCCTAGCCAGCAGTTGAATACGACATGCACAGTCAGAGACAGTCCACTGTGCGTGCACATGAACTGCGATTGATTCCCTGGTCCTGCTCCAAAGCCCGCCTGGCTGTGCGCGAGAGGAACGGGCCAGCAACGAGAATGCCCAGAACGGGCAGCCTTGGTCTCAAGCTTCGTGATCATCTGAGAATCTGGAGATAGCCGGAGTTCGTGCATGCCTAATGGTCTAATTTCATGGTCTGCCGAACATGCTTGCGATACATCAAGGGCATCTCGGAGCTCGTGCAACCTGGAGGCGAGCCCAGCGCCACTCTCAACCACTTAGGAAGCAGAGACGGTTGGACCTGTCATGTCATATGTGACTTATGTGGAGCATGCAACCATGCACGCCCACGAGAACCAGTCTCACGTCAAAGCCCTTGACTGGGCAGCCGAGTCTTGCTACAACGGCTCCGAAGAGCTGACCCAAGGTAACCGGCGTTTTCCATGCCGGGAATGCTGCCAAGGTGGCGGACCTCTGCGTCAGTCCACTCGTCAAAGCCATTCATCGGGACACGCCTCACCTTTCCGGTCGCCTGAAGATGGGCCACCTGGTGAGCGGATGTGTAATGTTCCCGGGCCCTTACCAACAAGCAATCCCAAATCGTCAAGCAAGAGGACAATACCATCTAGCTGCTGGCTGTCAGTTCCATGGCTTTGGCAGCCGGCCGGTGGTTCTGAGGTTCCGGGGCAGCTTGGTCACCGCGGAGCTTCGAGGGGCAGTGTCTCAAAGTGGAACCCTGCTGGGGGTGCCAGGGAGCCCTGCGCCTGTCCATCGCATGTGGCGGAGACCGGCGTTGAGCAGCCCGTGTTGGCGAGGCGCTGGGCGTCCTCGGGGGAAGAGATCGTGGAGCTGAGGCCAAGGTGGCGTCCTATCAATGCAATCGAAGACTCTTCCCATGACTGATTACGCACAAACGTATGGAAGAACCCACTCACTGAGCATGCGATCCCGAATAGTTACCAGCAGAAGGGAGCAAACCTTCTACTGCTAACGGGTGATGGCGAGTGCTTCCGAAGAGCCGTCTTGATCGGGCAATACCGGTTCCCGTAGGCGCGATAGTATCCTGGCTGACACAAGCCCAGGCTGCCACTGCTACAGAAAGACCCTATGCTCACAACACTTGCAACCCAGCATGCCTCAACCTGGACAATGCTTTAAGACTTGTTCCTGCCAGTTTCTGGCTCGACGCAGCATGTCAGATGTCGACTTATACTCTACACACACACACACACACATATATATATATATATATATATATATATCTGTCATTAATCAAGCAGTTAATGAGAGACAGAATGAATTAGTTACTTAACTAGTTGATCAACTAGTTGTTTAATTCATTAATTCGTTAATTGGTTAAAAACATAGTTCATTAGCTAACGTTTGACTATTTTAACTATTTGCCTAATTTCATTAATTAGTTTACCAACTAACTAGTTAGTTATAATTAACTAGTTGAGAAATTACGTAATGAATCAAGTACTTTAATAATGTATTAAGTAATTAGACGAATAAACTCATCGGATTAATTGACTAGTATATGCTCTTGCAAGCTCGGCTCGACTCAAAGCGGAGTCGGCAGCAATCAACCGCTCTCGGCATCGAATGCGAACCTGGCACGTGCATTCCAACTTGCAGCAGGGCCCGCTTGGTCGTTTGGACTGTACTGCATGAACTGTGCAACCACCTGTCTGCTCGCCGCAGTTGCATGGTGTCCGCATGATCTAGTCATCTAACAACTTCCATCATCTTGCGTCTGCATGCTGAACATGTTGGCCTGATTTCACAGGCCTATCGAGTCGGCATCACCCAGGAAACCCTTAAGCCGGAAGCGGGTCTCTCTTTAGAGCCGGGACAAAGCCTGAACCTATGCAAGCAACGGCTCCATAAGGCGTGTGCCCCTTGTGTGCTAGTTGTCTTGCCGGCATTACCACATGCGGGGCACTACCACTGCAGATACGTATGTGTTTATGTTATACTGCACTCTATCCCACGGGTCCGTGCTGTAGGTGTTTTTGTATGAGCGCATGCATGTATGCACGTCTGCATGTGCATGTGTGTCTGAGTGTCTGAGTGTCTGTGTATGTCTATCTGCCTGCCTGCGTGCATGTCTGCATATCTGAATGTCTGTCTGCTGTATGCATGTAAGCGTGTATACTTAACAACTCATACACGTACTTCGCCTTGACATGGCACACCATAGCTCATTGCTGTATATACGGCGCTCTCGACAGAGTTTTGAACATGTCAAGTCGTACACCGGGTAATGCGCGTCTACAGCTTCTCCTCGCACACGTCCATGGGCTCCAGGAATGAATCTAGGGTCTCGATCCGTGCGCGGCTGGCTTGAGATAGCGCAGAGGTCCAGCGGTCCAGGCTTGCTTTGTCCTCGTCCACACTTCAGTCTAGTAAACAGAGTTGAGCACTGACGAACAGTTATCACGTAAATATCACAGCTAGAATGCGTAGTGTTACGGTAGCACTGCCACACACAAGCTCACATGTCCTCTGCATCGAAATAGAAGAGCTGGCGTTGTCTGCCGGCTGCTGGGTTCGAGTCCAGAACAAAACCACACGGGAACTCAGCCTTGTGCTTGACAGAATCGCCCGGTGCATCTCTGGAGTTGAAAGGCACACACATGCCTGTGTTTAGCACGGGAATTTCGCCTTTCTTGACCTTCTGCTCCTCGTCCGCAAAGTAGTTTAGTCGATCTGGGTACAGCACGCACCACCTTCGGGCCCACTTGAAATCGGCCGCAGGCCCTCTCTTGTTAAGCCACCCTTGCAGAAGGACGTCCTCCTTTCGCCTTGCGCGCAGCATAGAATGCAAAATGGAGTTGCGCTCTGAAGCCATGTGAGGCCAGTTCTGTGGCGCTGTGATCGTTTGCCGAGGGATGAGGGCAGCTTCGCTGACAGCCTTCGACGGTCCGCTCCGGGTCAGAAACATCACGTAGGCATTGGCCCCGACAGGCTGCTGCGAGCCCAATCTTTCCACACAGGAGTCATCGAAGTAGTAGAAGGGTCCGGTCGCTGGGCAACCAACGCGGCATGTAGCCGTGTAGTGCCCTGACCCATAGCCCCCCAGATGGTTCGCCACGCAAGTGACCCGATAGGCTGCCCCGTCTTTCTGCTCCGAAAAGCACAAGGAGGAAAGGTCAAAGAGCTCTGGAGCTCTCAGGTGAGAGTCTATCTTCCGAAATCGAAAGCTGTGCATATCGAACTCGAAGCGCTTCAAGTGCACAACCAGTACTGGTGGAAGCTTCCACAGGTCTATCTTCTTTGTCGCATCGACCTTTTGCTTACACTTCGGGCAGAACCACTGCTCATCTCCGACAAGAGTCTCACGTTCGAGATACTTCTCGAGGGCCTCGCGCACAGTCGTCATCTGCCAGGTCACCTTGAGAAAGAACGACACCATAAATAAAGTACAGTCCTCTTGCAGCTCCGGTTGTGTTGGCAATTTGGAGGTTTACACTTGGGTGCGTAACATCCGAGCCGCTGGGAGGGACAGGTACAAGAAAGCTTCGAAGCGGCGAGAGCTGTGCCCACAGCGGCTGCAGGTGACAGAGGAGCGCAGCTGCCCTTGCAACAAGTCCACCTCAAAGACAGGACCATCCTGCTGATTCTTGCTAAGTGTAGGCTCCGACCCCGTCTAATTGTAGTAGCTACAAGCTGCTATCCCTGCAGGAGATTTACAGGAACTGACTTCCCCTCTTGATGCTCCCAGTGGCCAGAAAGGACTTCCCCTGCTCAAGGTGGCGCATCCAGGATAAAGCCGACGCAAATTCCTCTCCTCTCCAGGAAAGAGACTCTACGATCAGGCCCAAAGCATGATCGTCTGGTGCCCTGGCTTCTCATGGCGGTACACTTCCATGAGCACAAGATTCGATGCAAGATTGGATGTTTCTTTCCCAACTCACGGCGACGAAGACCTGGCAACGAAAGCTTGAAAGCCTTCTCCGTTGTACTTTCAGCAGGGTAGGTTGATGTTTGCGTTGGTCTTCTGATTGCCTGTCTAACTCCCCCACGTCAATTCCACCGAGCCTGACGGACAAGACGATCGAAAGAGGCTTACGAATTTGAGCGAGGCAGCAAGCTGTCCCGAAGGGATCGGAGAGATGAATCAGAGGAGCCAGCCGTTGGAACGGGGCTAGACTGCTGGACAAGTTGAGGACATGACTGGGGATCCCAGGCAATCCCTTCGAACGAGCTCCGAAAGCTGATGACGGGAGGGCCTTCGGAGCCAACCGTTGGAGTGTGACTGCAGGATTTGAGGGGAGGGGTAGGCAATCCCGTCCAAAGAGATTCGAGACGAGGAAGCAAGTCGTGGGCAAGGAAGTGCAAAGAGAAGTTCAGAAAGTCGAATATGCTATAAGAGCAGAAGCTGCGAGGGACGAGGCAGTTGGACAAAGGGCAGCAGTGCGTACTCCGCGAAAAAGGACTAAGACTTGCAGCAGGGAAGGAAACCGTTCGAAACTGAACAGAGAAGTTGAGTTCG